TTCAAGTAACAGTTGCACAAATGAACACCGGAACCAACACTTGTTGGTACACGTATAATTTTCAAAAGAAAAGGGAATAGGGCTGTTTTGATGCATTGATGCATCGGTGAACCATGGTATTTCTTCCTGTGATTTTTATATCTGTACTTGATTAAGATACTGCAATATCAAATTTAATAAATTACTGATAGAAAAAGTGCAAGAGAAACTATCAAAAAAAGGAAAGAGAGCAGCCGTGTTTTTGTCAATGATGTCCTCCAAAAAGGTAAAAAAAATACCAAAATATTTCTGCTACATTTACAATAGGTACGGCAGAAAAAACAATTGCTTTAAGTGTGTACTCTCTTCACAAAAAGGCAATAAGATTAATGTACCTTAGCCATTAGCATGGTGATAAAGGAATGTATGATTTTCAGGTAATAACTTTATGCTCAGATATGCACACTGCCCAAAAAATTTTAAGATAACACTCTTAACTACCAACAACGTTACATATACATATGTGACGACTTTTGACTACATTACTTGCCGTTATAAAGCCATTCACTGGCAGGTAATTTAATTAGTTACCTGCAAATTTCAACATAAATATTTTACTAAAAAAGTATCATTAGCATTATTATGCATACCAGCTCATTGGTTCAATGATAATAAATTTAGGTCAGATCAACTTATAGTTGGCACTTTTTACAGGGTACATACAGCAATTTGTTACTTATAGAAAGAGTATATGTACTGACAGCTCTTAAGCAGCAGTTTACCAAGAAAGAGTTTAAGACCCTTAAATATATATCAGGCTTAAAGGTAAATGTATGTTGCTTTGTAAATGTCACTTCATAAATAATGAATAAGTTTATAAACACTGTTTCATGAATAACTGATGATTTAGATGTACCGGTAGGTCTGGAACCCTCCCAAGAATCTTATAATAAATTAATTTCAGAAGTGAATTGCAATTCATCAAAAAATGACAGACTGTTGGACCAAAGCTAGTTGCAATGCTACAATTAGAAAACATTCGAAAAAGTGGCTTGCAGCCAGGTACAAAGGGAGAGTCATGAATTTGGACACAGTTAGTTTTCGCCAACTTCAGCTCTTACATGTACACAGACCAGTAAAAATTTTTTTATTTGTATAGTTTCTCACTTATTATAAATGGTATTTTATTTCTTTTTTGGTGGGGGAGAAGGGGGTGACTTCTCTTTTGCCCTGTTTGCATTTTAAAAAAATTTATTTGTTTTGCAAAACAATCTGTCATCAAGAAGCTACCTAAATTCTCTCAAGTGTCACCAAAATTCAAAGATACTGTCAAGAAGATTTGGAGGCCTACTATTTTTTGTGAGGCAACAAAAGTCTTTGTTCCTTAATGGTATACTTTGTTGGGTCATGTTATTTGGTGAACATGACCAACTATAGTTCCTTTGATATGTGACATTTTTAGTCACACAAAAACTGTTGCATGTCTTAGGTGCGAACAAGGTTACAAAAACAAAAAATTTGTAGGTACAGAATTTTCAATTTCTTTGCAAATGCCAAACTCTATTTTTTTTGGCAATAAATGCAAACAGGGCTTTTGCAAAGAAAATTTTCGTTTTATTTCGATTCCTTTCACAATTCATGTATTCTTAACAATTGAGGTTAATTTGCACAGTAAAGGAGTGTGATATTGGACTAATCACTTACAATACTTACAATATTCAATCACGTCAGTAAGTTGGGGGCTGGGAGAGAGGGCTTTTTGGCCATATAACACCATTTAAACAACAGAGGGAGTGAGTTTGTTGTTTCTATTTGTGCACTTTAAACACAGCAGTGTATTTTACACAGAAACAGAAAAATGTCAGCAAATGGCTCAAAGTGCGTCAAAAAAATACGCAGCTGGACAGGTTCCATGCGAAAAAAAATTGAGGCTCAAAGAACACACAAAGCAAAACAAAGTTATGAACAAAAGAATGTCATGGTGAATACAATATCTCGTCAACACACGTAATAGATCTAAATTTGAAATCGCTTGAAAATGCCTTTCGTATTTTGTTACATCAATTCAAAACACGAATCGCGAAAGAGCAGCTTAACACGACACCAGCCTGAGACACGATCTCTTCACATGATCGATGCACTTGTAAAAATTTTATAGGCGTTTAATACCGTATGTAAAACGTTCCTTACTTGTAGTATTTTCACTCATAAGAAAACCCTACAGCTATCTTACGTTTTAAAAAGTATTAAATGCATTGACTTTTTAAGGCCGGCTACCTATTTCAAGAGTCGGAAACTTTGTAAACACAACCCGGCTTCCTAAGCTTATATAAAGTCCTTGCAGCGTGGCGCTAGCTTTTTAACGTTATTTGTGTTTTAACAATCGATTGAAAGTAAGAGCTACGATGGAGTGGTTACTTTTCTTCCCACGAAGGGGACTGTGCTGTTTTTATTTAGTCTGGAAGTCAGCTTCGATTGAGCGAATTTGCCGAGTCATACCATGGATATTAACAACTGAACAACACATTTGTCAACAAGTTGTGTAAGCGATGGTCGCTTGCCTTTTCAACAATACAAAAATCTGCGTTTCACTGTCAAATCCTACCAGTCTTCTCCGCTGCACGAGAAACAACATTAATAAACGTATGCTTACCTTCATCATCATCATATGTACCATTCCATGGTTCATATTCATCGTCGTTGGGGAATGTGTAGCGTTCATGGGCATATCTCCGTGACTGTCGTGATTGTCGTGATTCATTCTGAAGATGATTTTCACTTCCAATTGACAAAAGTCGGTGAAGACAACTAACTAGAGCGACAGTATAATAACCTATAACCTCCTCACACAACACTTGCCTTCCCTTATAATTGAAAGAACATCAGTACCAGTCCTCTCTCGCCCCTCGGAAACAAAAGCTGCGGGTTTTATGCACTTCCTCATAATCAACATGAAACATCACGTACTACCTTGGCCCGGGGGTACTCCCTCAAATGGCCTCTACGGGGGGCTTAACCCGAAAGGGATACCTTTTTCACATAGGAATTTCATTAGTTGAAGTATATATATGAAAGAGTAGGGAAATTTATCATTTCGGTCTGTAAAAAGACCCAAAAGGGCTAAGAGATGCATTTTATGCCTGTGAAAAAGTCGAGAAAACGTTTTGGTATTGTCAGGAGCCTATCTGATGGGCTCCTGGTATTGTGATATATTCATATTTTAATAGATAGTGCATTTACAGCAGTTAAAAGGGATGAGGCATGCAAAGCTCTAAACAAGGTATTTGAAAGGGTATCATTTCTCCGTATAATAATATATGGGGGTAACCACCCCGCCTGGGGGTAACATTTCTGTCAAAAATGGTTAGTAAAGGGTACGGAGAGGGACTTCGGAGCGTAGCCTCCCTGATTAATACTTTGTTGAGTAACCTCGGGTACCTTGGTAAAAAACAAGTGCGTTTTCGCTTTCGATCCTGCACGGCCAAGACAATAACGACCAAAGGTTCAGCAGTCGAGAAAAAGCCTTTAGATAAATTGTCGTCTTTGCTCAGCACCATGCCCATCCGAATTAAATCAGTCTATTGATTTAGCCTGCCTTGCAGGCGCTTGGAAATAGTGGGTGAAAGAGAGAATGGGCGCGCGCGAGGGAGACACGTTATCTAGTGACTCTATTCTCAGCTTATTCTTATTGAGTACCACTAAATGAGAAAAGACCATTTCATATCATGCCGTTACTAATATAAAGAAATGGTACAGTCAACTATTCTATTTGTTTCATGTTCTCCCTTTCTTTTGCTTATCTGCAGTTTTCTGACGAAATCCTCTTCTTTCGCAACTGAGGGCACAAAAGATAATATCGTTCAATTAAATAATTACCGGATATTCCTTTTTAGCTGAAACAGTGCGTTTGTATTTGGCGTTCTATTCAATGTTATCATCCGAAAAAGGAACTAACACTGATATCGAATTCAGTTTTTCAGAAAGGTTCACATCCTCTAATAACCTAACTTTAAGAAGACATGTCTTTATATTTGATTGATATGAGAAGTATGCAAAAAATACTAGATCCAGTTTTGTTGTCCCTTATCCATGGGAACAAGATTAGTCTGGTATACTCGGCCATTTTATGAATTGCAAACTGCTATCTTAGATGTTTATCATACTTTTAATTATGGTGTAAATAACTCTGTCATCCGCAGAAGCTCCCTTTCCAATTCCATGTAATAATTTTTAGAAAAGGCCCATGGCGGAGAATTTCATCTTATTTCCGCAGTGGCGGAACAAGGAGAGGGGCCTGGGGGGCCTTCCAGCCCCCCCGCCCCTCTTATTTTTAGACCAAACTGAAGCAAGAAGGGCGGAAACAATTTTTTGATACCGCCCCCCTCCCTTATCTCAGGGTCTGGATGACCCTTCCCCCCCGTTAGGATCCGCCACTGTTTTGTCCCATTCCTTGTGAAGCCGCGCTTTACAACAACCTCTTCAACATGTTCAATCAGGAGAAAACATATCGCAATTAAAAACCGATCATGTGAATTTTCAATACCGGTTCGATTGAAAAAAAAAAGTGTTTAGGAAAACTAGGTAAGTAAGAAAACTTCGACAAAGTCATATCACTTTTGAGGTTTACCTCTGCTATTAGTCGTAACTATCATTTATGGCAAGATAACCTCCCGCGCAGGTCCACGATCTTAGGGGTTCGTCTGCGTGGGAGGCTAATGGCAAGACGGACTTGTCAGTTTCTACCTTTTTGGAATCTCTAAGACAACACTCACGCTTCCGAGCATAATCAGTTTCAAAAGGCCCGTCGTAAAATTAATTGCTTTCAGGACGACTAGAAGTTATCCGAATAGTTACTTCAACCAAAGTTTAGAAGACTTTCGAAACCCATGATTAGTACATCTTCAGTTACGCATTGGTGCTAAAATTGGGCCTTCATTGTTTCGCCTTGCTCCCCATTTGCCCTGAAGCGATACGAAAATAGAGCCTGATTGAAGCTTTGATTGACGGGGCGGCTATTTCTATTCTTGGTTTGTCAGCTGTGGAGAGGCGACACGCCTCAGGTATGCTTCCCAGAATAAGTTTGAATCAAGCATCGGCTCCTATTATCGTCTGTTGCCTTGTTAAGCTAATCAAATTCTCCCAAACGCCAACCACACAAGCCAACTTCCCATGATATTGGCGACCGATCTGCGTCACTGACGTGGAAGGCATATGCTTTGCTGCTTTGGCCTTTGTTTCGAGACAAACAGACATGACATATTTGCGATCGCTAAAATAAATGGCAACATTATTTGTCAGTGGTCTTAGGACTGCCTGAATACGTCTTTTGTAGCAAGCTTTCGATTATGTAGTAAAGCGCCGCAGACCAGAAACCAGGCTTTAGAAGAAGCAATATTTTGGATCATGATATAAACACTGACAAATCCAACTGTGATAAAATTATAATTCATCTTGGTCACAAGATCGTGAATGCTCAACCGTCAGTTCTAATTCCAAGCCAGGAGTAATCGGCTCCTGTCCAAGCCCATAAACAAGTGTTTTAAAAGGCACTGATATTCCGGGGGAGAGGGGTGGTTCCATAAAAGTAGACACAGTGGAACCCCAGTCATCCGAACTGTGATGGGAAACAAAAACCAGTTCGAATTAGCGAGGGTTCGAGTTAACGGGGTCACATCAAGAATTGATAGTGACTGATTTTTCAGCACTTCAGTGAATAGTGCAGGTCAAATTTTGAAACTTAAGGTATTTTAGCCATTTTTTATGATAAATATGATCTGTTCGTTGCACCAATTAGAATCAAATTTCTCTAGTGTTGACCAGTATTTTAGAGTTTTTAACGGTTGGTATCCGAGTGGAGTTACAAGAACCAGAATTCGAGTTACTGGGGTAAATTTCAGTGAATTTTTGATCAAGGGAAATGAAATTTAGTTTGAGTTAGCGGGAAATTTGAGTTATCGAGTTCGAGTTAACCGAGTAAAAGTGACTGAAAAGTGGGGTGAAATCCAGGGGAAATTGGACTTAGTTCGAGTTAGCGAGGAGTTCGAGTTATGGGGGTTCTACCAAGGAGAAAAAGGGTTCTACTGCATGTCAAACACCAAAGGATATAATTTCTGCTGAGCTGTTTTCGTATTTAATTGGATATAGTTTGTAGCTGTGTTGTTCCGATGTAAGTTACACTTTGCTATAGAATCAGTTGGAAGACGGAACGTTTTTCGCGTTAATTGATGAGACAAGAGAAAATCTAACGAGAAAATGAGCAGTGTATGGAACAAATCAAAACGTGCGGAGATCCATGCCATGGGCCTGTTACAATCCCTGTAAGATCCAAGCGTGACATTCATTTCATATTTCGCTTCTTCTTTTTTTTCGTTTAGGTGTTTAGTTCTTTCTGTTGGTTTCCGCCTCCTCGTTAGCCTCTCTTTGATTTTTCATCTTCATTAGCACCTTTCTTAATTTTCTTTTCTGCACACTCTACCGCATTTCGGCAACGCAGTTCTACAGTACAATTTTAAGGTAGTATATTTTGTTCCGTGCTGCGCAGTTCTATTCATTTTCTACGTTTGCTCGCGTTTTACGCAGCAGAGACCGCTCCTATTCAGCTTTTCTCTGGCCATAACAATGTTAGTGTCAGTCGCAGTCGTCGTTTTGTCGCAGTTTTGTTATTTCTTTATGTGCCAAGTTTTCGTTTATAGCAACTTGTAATTTTTTTTCTTTTTATCCTTTTTTTTTAATTTCAACTCACGTTATAAGTTCAAAGCCTCTGATCCGGACGGAAACAGTTTTTTTTGTTTCCCTCGAATCTCAATGCCCCGAGGGAAACATTGAGATTAGATGTCATGTGACCTTGAAGTAACCATTTAACCAATGAGAGCGCGCGCTGACAGGAAGAAATTTCCAGCTACACAAACATCATTTGTTTGAGCCGGGACTTCGTCAGTTTTTGTGGCGTTGATATTTCGGCCCCGAGAGTTCCCCGCCTACCGTAGTATAAGTCCCCTTAACGGACAATAGGACAGACACTTCCCCTATTTAAACTAATGCCTAAAATTCATGCTACATTTCTTTACTTTTTTTCAGTATTTTCACATTCAATACCGCGAACACCTTTTCTTTGAGCCACCAAAGCAACTCCTTCAAATCCAGTCCCTCCGTTGAGTAAATATGTTGAAAAGAAACAATAAATTTGAAGATAAAGTTCTTTTTAATTTTAAGTATTACTGATTATTTAAAAATATTAAAAAGTTTTGTTAACATTTTGTTCCTTATATTTACATGCGGCTTTCACCTAAAGAAATTGTTGACGTATGAAATAGAACTACCGCATTCATCTGAAAAGAGATTGCATTTATTAAATTTATACGACGGATACGCACCGAAACTTAAAAAGGACACGCGACCAGTCGAAACTCAAAAGTTCACAGATAAAAACATCATCTGATTTCTATCACTGTTAAATATGCATGCAAACCTTGATAATGTTGTATATCTTGATAATTTTTATAGTCCGCTTCTTATCGCAAATTTACCGAATCTATCATGTGAGCGCATTTTACACTTTTTTTCCATCTTGCAATAAACAGACATCTGGTCTTCAAATCTCGTTTCAACGATGATTTAAGTGGTTAAAACTGCAATGACTCGGTTGACAAAGATTTCTTTGCAAAAATGACTCTCTCGTTTAAGCCTTTGTCGTCAAAAGAAAGTGTTTCAGGGCAAGTGTATTTACACAGCAAAGTGCAGGAATAGTTTGTCTTACGCGAGAGTGGGCCATTTGTTACTATTCAAAGTTTAGGTTGATAGGAATTCCCTGAATAAACCTATTGACATAAGATATTGACAGATAATCGAGACACTCGTTTGTTCAACCGTTCTGCTTGTGTTCTGATGTAAAAAAAGAATTGTTAGTGAATGAACTAAGGCGCGTTTATCGCTTAACGCACTTGTTTTCTTTACAAATTTGGCTTATAGAATATACCTATATAAAATTTGACCAAGCACTGACCACCATGCAAATAAAGCAAGCAAGACAGCTGAGAGCTTTGGCGTGGAAGTCGACTGTTACGCTTCTATATTTCATTTCATTACAATGCTGACAGAATTGTCAACTGCTGCAGTCGCTGGGGAACTCATGATTGTTTCTTCTAGTTCACGACGAAGATCTTGGTCCGATACAGGATCTCCTCTTTTGCGAGAAAAAAGCGCCGGCTTGGCAACTCGTCGGAGTGCAAGGATAAGCTATGTTGCCGTTCCAGGGAAAAGCACAGAGAGGATAAAAATCAACGTAAGTGGGAAAAAATACGAGCTAACATACACCAGGCTGTTGAAATTCCCGAAAAGTCTGCTCGCTCAATCAAGACGAAGGGCGTTTTTCTACGACGAAGATAAGGACGAACTTTTCTTTGATAGAAACCGAATCGCATTTGAAAGTGTGTACCATTTTTACCAAACCGCTGGCGAGTTTCTCCGACCTGAACATATTCCCGACGAAATTTTGACAAGAGAAATGCAATTTTTTGGTCTCACGGAGTACCTATCGAAAGACACAACAGTTCGCAGGCCTAAACAAAGTATACGCCCAAGTAACCGGTACCAAAGAATGTTATGGGAACTCTTTGAAAATCCCGGGGCTAATATTGTCGCTCGCATTGTTAACTTGCTTCTTTTACTATTGATTATTTTGTCTGTCATTTTACTGTGCATTGAAACCCTTCCAGAGTTTAGCGACGCAAGTATGTCGCTTGTTTCGAGGAACGTGATACCTGAAAAGGGGAAGGTAAACAAGACTCTCTACAACAAACAGCTCCATAGTGATCATAAAGAGGCAAACTACACTTCATCGAGCAAACTACAAAAGCTCTTCATTATCGAGGCATTCTGCGTTGCCTGTTTTACGTTAGAAGTGCTAATCCGTTTCGCAGCCTCTCCTGATAAACTGCGATTTTTCCGGAACCTTCTTAATGCTTTTGACCTTCTTGCCATCCTGCCGTTTTACGCAACCATCTTAGTTTCCACGCTTCCAACTTCAGTACAATCCGCCTACGTTTTGCGTGTGTTCCGTCTTTTGCGTTTACTCCGTTTTGCAAAAATTTACCGTTACAGCTCCGCTGCTCAGATATTTGTCCAGACCATACGGGAATGCATCAGTGATATTTTGACTTTGGCCTTCTTGATCCTTATGACCACGATTGTCTTTGCAAGTTGCAGTTATTACTTTGAACAGGAAAACAAAGGAACCGATTTTGTGAGTATTCCTGCAGCCTGCTGGTGGGCTGTTGTGACAATGAGTAGCGTTGGGTATGGAGATATGGTTCCTGTCACCATTGGTAAGTTGCAACTATTTTTAGTTTCTTCTCTACACTAAATATTGGGATAAATATTATTGCATAAACATGCATTATTATTCACTTAAAACATTTCTCCATTTCTGATTGGCTCAACACCCGCGGCTAATTCTTCATAACCAGCAAGCGTTGACTAGCCTGCGTCGAGTTTCGCCTGTGGCGCAAGCTAGTGTTCACCAATTTGGCAGACGTTTGGGTTATCCGGGAAAATTACGTCAATATAGTAGTGCAGGCAATCGGCAGAAAAAGGGTCGCCAACCGAGATAGACTGGGAACGAGGTTGCATTAGCTCCGTTGTTTTGGGCCGTCAGACTTCTTTCTTTCTGCTCTCATTTTTCTTTAGCCGCGAGAGAGGCCTCTGTATAGCAGGGAAGCGTGGATAACTCATGAACATTAACTGCAAAGGACCGCAAACGAATATGTCTCCGAACGTACTCAGAGGATCTATAGAAGGCCTGATAAGCAAAATATACCGAGTGAAATGTGATCGTAGACATCACACCGATAGAACCTGCACTTTACATGATGAGCCTGCACTTTATGAGCCTAGCGAGGCAAACGCGGCATTTTGCGCGAAGTGCGAGTCGAGGGGATTCCTGCGATTCGCGTAGAATGCCGCGTTCACCTCGTTTGGCTCATAAAGCGCCTGTTATGCAGGATAACAGAACCCAACACAGTTTCTACTATGCAACTTAGGAATTATGGACCTACTGTTCGTTTCATAGCTATAGAGTTAACTGAGTTGACATGCAGTGATGCATTCTGACCTTCATCTTATATTCAAATACTCCTTATTACAGCAGGTAAAATATCTGGAGCACTTTGCGTTATATTTGGAGCAATCATTATAACACCACTGCTGCCAATCATAGGATCAAAGTTCAGCAGGATCCAGGAACAAGCGAAACTCGGGAAGATTTCACCCACGGAAATAATTCCCGGTGAAAGTTCATCTACGTCTGAAGAATCAGTTGTGATGAATGATGCTGTGGAGAGTCGGCCGACTCTTTCCGTTCGAAGCCACAGCGCACGATCGAGAAGCGTGTCCATTCTTTAGACCGAAATATTCTGAACTACATTTTGTAATTAATGTTAAGACTTTTCGCATCTTACTTTTTTGCGAGCAAGTCAAAATCTTGTAGGAACCTAAGCAAACACAAGCGAGGGTGCCAATGTACAATCGTGTATTGAACAATGCCCCCCCGGAAACTCAGTGTTTCTGTTAGTTTACAACGTCTTACAATTATGTAAAACCCAGGTTTATCAGTTACTGTTTTATCTGCTTTTTCTTGCTACCTTAACTGTACACACAAAAGATAATCTAAAGTTCGATGTTTAGGGGGAAAGACTGAGTTAAAAAAATCAGTGGACGTAACTTGACTTGAAATATTGAAAAAGAGTGCAAGAGCCATTTGCATGATGGCGTCTGTCATTTTACTACTATGACCAGGATCCTTGAGGGTTTTGCAAGTTTCTTGTGCAAACTAAGGCTTTTGTCATTTAAACCTCACTGGGGCTTCCAAATTTAAATTTGAAAAGAAAAACGAAAAGAATTCTGGTCGTAATAGTAACATGACGCCATCGTGCAATTTATGGCCTATTACTCAGATCAATCTACAGTACATCGTGATGTAGTTTTGTTGTTGTTGTTTGTTTGTCTCCAAGTTCTCCAGCGTCTGTACAATTACTCTCAGGGTTACCCTCTCTATAGGTCATTTGTAGGGACTCTGGCAAACGGCGAGCCGAACATATCCTTGCAGAAACCTCCCAAGGTCTCTTGTGGTGCGCGCCTTAGAGGCACAAGCAATCGACGAAGCCACTTGCCACTTGCAAAAAGAACGGATGAAACCTTACGAGCAGAGGCGGACTACGTTTTTGCGACGGATTATAATTTATGATCTGCGTCAAGATTTTATCATCTACGTGAGAAAAGTTACTATTTAAAGTTTAAGACCTTTGTCAGGTTTAAAGGACTAGGAACGAGCTTTGTGAATGACTAACACCTTCCGTCGTAGAATGAAAACGTCTTCATGAATATAGGGTACTTTAGCAACCACGTCACAGTAGTCTTTTGTACATCATGCTTTTGTTTCCCTACTACGATGTAAAATGCCTCACCTTGATTCTCCATTTTCCAACAAAAATGCTTGGTCACCCCCAAAACGGTTACTAAAATACTCCGACAATGCTCACCATACGGAGCTTTGTATTATCAATTTTTTTTTTTCAATTCAACTTTAAGTCTTTATTTTCTCTCAATTTTCTTTGTATTTTTATTTCTCTGCAACATAAATTCTGGGAAAATGTCATTAAATTTTTCAAATAATGCTGAGCGCTCTGGCATCACTAAAATGCTCGAAAAAAAGCCAAGCATAATGTGCAAAAGTCAACCAAAATGAAGAAGGCGAGTCAATATAAAAATGAATTCGCATTTTTCAAACTTATCAGTCGTCTCTGTCCCGACACGCTCAAAATGGCAAATATAGGTGAGTTTCCCTGGAGTTGAATTCTTAGGGACCGCACCCAGTAAATATATACTCCCCCTTCGAGCAACGCCGCGGTCGTGCACGGATAGCAATTAGGAATGTATCTATTGCTTTTATGAAGTTCTCGTTGTTGTCGTTGCTTAATCCCCCTGGATTTATCTTCGAAGTGTGTAAACGGTTGGGAATCTGAATACGTTTCTAGTAAACTAACTGCAAATTAACTGCAGCAGGATTAGCTCAGCTGGTAAAGCGCTTGACAGCAGGGCGGGTAGACTGCGCGAGAGTCTACAGAGCGGGGGGCCGGGAGTCGGATTCCCGGAGCCGGACCAATACTCAGGGTCTTACAATAACTGCGAAATTAAGGTACTCCCTTTGCATTGCAAGCGGCTGGACCTTCAAGTGGTTTGGATGAACACGTAAAATGGCGGTTCCCGTCTCCAGGAGACGTAAAAATAGGGAGCTTAAGCAACAACGTTTTTGAGCGACGCACGTCAACCGGAAGTGGCCTTTTTTCATTTTTTGACGGTGGTTTCCCGCAAATTTTCAGTCAAATCGCCTCTATAAAAGTAAAGAAGCTAAGGAATACAAATTTTATATCATCAAGGCATGTTAAGAGGGAAAATACCTCACTTCCGGTTGACGTGCGTCGCTCAAAAACGTCGCTGCTTAAGCTCCCTAATAGTCAGTGCTGACAACTCCCCCGGATAATCCTGGAGACTCCAGATTTTGGACCGCATCTCGCGGTCTCAGGATAAGAGTACGAAGTCTCCCCAATAATCGCCGAAGTTTGCACTTTCTTCATTTCAGTAGACTCGACTTTCCGACAATGTTAAAATTTCAACTATTTTGCGTTGTTTGAGCGATTTTAATGTTAACATCGAACGTTTCCTCATAAACTTCAGTATGCCGTTGTAACTTGATAATTGATTGGTGGGGAGTAAACCAACCCGTAGGTCAAATGTTACTATGCCAACAACATCTTTCCCGCACGTTTTGTGTCATCGCAAATTTGTCTCGATCGGAGTCAAAGAGTATTTTTTGCACTAATGACGTCATGTGCGTGTGTTGTGACGTCATCTATTATCTCTTCCCTTAGTTCCCTATCAATTCTCAATAGGGGGCTTAAGCAACGACGACGGCGAAATCATCGAGAACGACAAAACAGCAATGGGTTAAGATTGGCAAAACAACAACTCGGCACGTGTATCACGCTTTTTGGCACATTTCTTTGCCGTCATTGTGTACGACTACGACGTGAAAACGTGAACACAAGACAACAACTTTATTTTTCTTTCCCTGAACTTCGATGCAGTCTTTTAGAATTAAACTCCCCCAAAAAATTGCCAATATTTAACGAACTGAACGAGATGGAATAAGCGCGATAAAGTTTGAAGAAGCGCGACTTCACTTTTTAAGTGACGTTTTCGTTGCTGTCTCCGTCGTTGTTGCTGAAGCTCCCTAATATTTGAAGACGTGGGCCAGTTGTCGACAACCCTGATAGTAGTTCGTACTTTTGAGCAAAATACTTTGACATTCAAATAAAGTGCAGCAAAAAAGTGCATTTTTTAAATCCGAATACTCTCAATGAAGTAAATCCGCAAACATTCATGAATCTAGAAAAATCTAGCCCAGTGTAAATGTAGCCCAAGGCCGGAAGACATCTTATTAAAACATCTTTGACGGGTGGTTCGACTGGCTCATCTACATTCTTATCGCAAAATGGCAGTCCTGGCTGGAGTACACTTCTTCCTCATCACGTACACTCTAAGTTGTGTCCCTCTGTCTCGCTCTTTATTTAGAGTTCGGGGATGGAGTGTTTCGCACAAACGGCATCTCTTTCTGCCTTTCTCCCCTCACCCCCTCCCCCATCACTTTCTTTTTCGTCTTCGGTTCAGCTATCGCGCGACTGTATCTCTTTCTTTGCGAACCTCTTTTAATCATGCTTATATGAACCCTATACGAACCACAAATGAAAAACGCATAAAAAAAACCGCCAGCAACGCAGGCTAAAACCAAAAATCTACCGAAGAGAGTCAACCCACTCCGATAAGACTGGGACGAGTGACTTCGTGGAACGCCTTACAATTCTTGCAGTCAACAGAAAATCAATCGTCAAGCGCGATGCATTCCGTTTCAGTGTTAGCGGAATTCGTGACTTGGGTATGTCACCAATACTACTATTGTTTCCTTGAATAGTACCCTCAACTTTTACTCATGCTATGAAAAGCAGCGAAAGCAAAAAAGAGAGAGTTAAAAACATTGGAAATTGGACGTCATGCATGTAAGTAAGCTTGTACACAGTTGAACCTTTAAGTACGACTACCTCCTACTGCAGGGGCACCCAACGTCAATTTTCGGAAAATATCTGTTCGGGAGACGATATGAGATCTAGAATATTGGGAACATTTGTTGTAAAATTTCTTGCTTTCCTGCCTCTCCTAGGATTTTCGAACATCTGAAGAATGGTTATACTTGCGCATTTGTAACAGATTTTTACCCTGAAAATGTCACCTAGAATTTTCGGGAGCCTTTTTTTTGGCTAAAATTTTCGAAAAGGTAAGCTTTAATCCCCATAATTTTCGGATCACTAGACTTTCAGCTAGGAAATCCGAACAGATGAAAAATTTTTAGGGGATAAAATATGCCTATATCTACCGTTTAAATACTAAAATACGTTTAACAATGCTATGTTAAAGTGGTTTTGAACTATATTCTCGTTGGGTGGCCCCGTACTTTATCAGTGACCACCTATCAAAGTACCCAAAGACCCACAATTTAATGGAATCTCTCGTAGACCACCAGCGACGTCAAAACTTTTTTGTCCTGACGGTTTTTATAATTTTCCATAGTTTTCATTCTTTGGTAAACCACATGGCCTGATCTCTTCGTTCGCTGTTTGTACTACCACTCCTCACAGTGTATGAAGAACGTTCACTGACAGCATGCATCTACACATATCAGTACTAAGAATTTGCATGCAATATATCCTCCTTTTTGAGAACCATATCATGACACATAAGCAAACTCGTCTGCGAAGTAAGACATACTGAAAATTGCTCTTGTATTTTGATTTTTGCTCTTATTTTGAAGCTACCAGCCCAAATTGCTTCAAATGTTTTCTGTAAAATACTTCTACAGTCAATGTTTCTAGCCAGGATCATTTCTTGATCGCCAACCATAAAACCTTGACAAATTCAATTAATCCATTCGCCCCTGAGCCGCCCGTAACTGCCCGTGCAGATCCACGTCCCTTTTACTGCTTGTGACATCATCAGTTTTAATAACCAAGGACAACTTTGTCTGCTGACTTGTGCAAATAGGGTAACTACAGAGAACAAAAGAATCCACACCCCTACCCCCTCTCCTCCATTCAAAGTTGGGGTTTTTGTTGTTTTCTGTTGGTAGCAAGAATGGCAGCACAACATTTCATGCAAGAGGAAAAGCCTTATTTTCCCATTTGGAAATCAGTAAAACGTCGAAAAGGCCCTTTAGGGCAAAGTGTCTCAAGTAATTTTATCGCCGATGGTAGCTTCAAACACATTTTTCGGCAAAATTTCCAGAAAAAAAAAACTGCCCGTGCACATGCACCTCCCTTCTACCACTTGTGACATTATCAGTTTTAATGGTCAAGCACAACTTTGTCTGCTAACTTGTGCAGATTGAAGAGATCTTTCAAACCATACCAGAATGAGCATAATTCAGTCAAGGACACTGGAGAAAAGGCAAAAACCCTTGTAACATTGACCTGAAAATTTTCATGAAAATCCTGTTCCACTATCCACTTACCTTTCCATTCTTCTAATCCTAAGATACTAAAAGGTTTTCTAAAAACTATTCCCACCAAAATGAAGCCTACTAAATGCCCAGCAAAAGAAAAAAAATGAGGCAAAAAAATTGAAAAAGAGGGGAGGAGAGAAAGCTAAAAGTAGAAGTCAAGACTGCTGTCTCCCTGTGCCAAAAATCTTGCTTTCTGTGCATGCCGGAACTTCACAAGCTAATATTTTGCATCTGGATCAGAAGGCTGTGAAGTGTATGACCTGTAAATGGCTTTATGGTAAGTTTTAGCTCTTTATAGCATGACAGTGACCAGAAAACTGCTCAAGTTCAAAATGCATTTTTGGGCGAAATTTTGAGGGGCAAATGGGTTAAGGTTCAATTTTCTTGACCCAAGGGGGTACTTCGGATCTCAAGTGATGGGTATGATCGCAAGGGGGCAAAAATCAAAACCCCAAAAATTTGCGGGACCAAAAATTAACCCCCACAAAAATCCCATGCCGAATTTCCTAACCTTAAAAATTCCCATGAGAAAGAAAAACAAGTTTAGTTGTACATGTACTTTATTTGTAGAAATATACGGCTGGCATATACATGGGGAGTATTACCATGAGTCTTAAAAAATATAATGCCACAAGAGTGTGTTCTATTGAAATGACCTGATACGGTCATTTTTTATTAAATTTAATCAATAGATAGTGACTGTATCAGATCATTTCAAAAAAATTTTGTGCGTAAGAGTTTCTTGTCACTGTGCAGGTGTGGTAATTGATAATTATTTCTGGGAGACAGAAGATCAGGGTTACGTAGAAATTTGATTGATGCTATATAGCTGATCTCTTCTGGCGTGCTCTATATTTTATATCATATTTTTATTAATCTGCTCTACGTGAATTCCTGGTATTTTTTTCCACTCTAGATGTCATTTTTTGCGTCAAAGAGTGTTTCAGATCTGTTGTTTAAAGGATGGACAATATCAACAGCTGGAGGTAAGCAATGCTTTTCATAGAATTCACTTTCCCAAAAAACACATCTTGATGTTTGTCTAGCCATTTTTCTAGCCATGTTGTGGTAAAAAAATCCAAACTATCTATGGCAAAAATGTTGTTTACATGAAGTCAAACACTTTGCAGCCTCTGATCCTGATGCTAAATATCAGCTCCTGAAGTTTGTGCTTGCCTTAGGGTAAAATTTGGAGAGATAGTTTTGGGTTACCATTTGTTTTTACCCCCTCCTCTTCTTTTGCTTTTCTTTCCTGATTTCTTTCTTTTTAATGTAGAGCATTAGTTTTTATTACCGGTAGGCTTCATTAAGCTCAGTGGAAAAAGATGTTGGGAAAACGTTGAGATTTGATTACAGAATTAAATGTAGATGGAAGGCAGTGGAGATCGATGGGTGGGGGAATTTAGGGAATTTTCAGGTCCACTTGTCATAGTTTCTTGGATCGTCCTGTGCCTGTTTTATTGGGTGTGGTTTGAAAGATCTTTCCCCTCAGCACAAATTAGATGTCAAAGTTGTCCATGACTGTCAAAACTATGACATCACGAGCTACAAGGGACATGGGTTCACACGGGTTATCACAGACAGTTGTCTGTTGAGGATGAATAGATTAAAATTACCTTACTGGTAATTATACTTTCACCAGACATTTTTTGTTTATTTACTGATAATGACTTTGAAATACATAAAGATATTTCAAAATAATTATTGTTCATTAAAGTAGAAGAAAGTTCATCTTGAAGACATCATAGAGAATTATTTGTCATTTAGAAGACCTACATAACTGTATATATGCTGGTATATAAAATTAATGGTGCCTCAATAAGTACACATTGCTAAGAAATATTGTTATTAACTGTTTGGCTGTGTGCATAGAAAAAACTGGGCCTTACTTATGGCGCTTAAGTTATGTTATTCAAAATGCCAGTAATAAATAAAAACATAATGTTCTAATTTCAGGAATGGCTGGATCTTGCATTGCAGTAATTTTAATAGCTATTGTGTTTGAGACTCTGAAGTCTTACAAGCCTAACCAACAAAAACCACACAAGGAAAACAGTGAAACAACTCCACTAATTAGACGGCCAAACCAAGACCTCACCAGGTACAAAATATGTTACAAGATGCTAAAATTTCATCTTTTTTATTTGATTATTCACATTTGTGCTAACAATAGTTACAAGGGTTTTGTGTCTTTATTGGTTTGATTGGGATAATTTTTCCCCAGTAGGGGTGGGTTTCTCCCATCCTTTTTTTGGTTCTGTGATCCTTCAAGCCTGACTCACAATTCCAGATAACACGTTCTTTAACACATGATATAAGGTGGCTGAACACAGTTTTGTGGGCGGTCAGTGGTAACTCGCATGAAGGCGCGTGTTTTAAATTAGACAAACAAACATGGCGGCGAAAAAAAGCAATGGTACACACAAGGCGATTTCTCAAAATCTACTCACTAAAATTTTGTGATATTTAGCAAAATTTTTACTTTTATGGTATTTTAAATAATGAGACCTTTAAAATGGAAGTTGAACAGATGAAATTTTGTGACACATTTAATAATTACAGTACAATTATATTATTAATTATTTAAAAACCTGTCTGTTAAAATTTGGTCAAATAAGTTCTAGATGGTAATGATTATTTATAGTAAGCTGTGTGAAAGTTTATAGGAAAATCTAATGAGCAAATTTTACATAAACTGAGCAAAAGTAAAATTTTAAGGTTGTATTCAATCATTCATGTTGCCATGGGAACTGCAAAAACGTCGGTCAATCAAAATCTCTCATCAGTATATTTTTCTCTTGCCAAATTTCAGCTTGTGGGCTGCAACCTTTCTCTTGCCATGATTTGGCAAATGACATATACTCACAAACTGCCAAAACTGTGTTCAGCCACCTTAATAATGGAAATTATTCAATTCAATCTCCTCCCAAAATTTTCCACTTCATGTTGACTTTAGGTCCTTTAACTGCATCACAAAACACTAGCTTTGGAAATGCTCAAAAGGTTTTGGAACACCCCTGTTTTCAAACATTCAAACATTTTGACAACATTATTTTGTAAGTGTTCAGGAAATCTTTGGAAGTTGCTGGGATGTTTTTAGAAAATATATGCCAGTCAAGACAAGACAAAAAATCTCACACATTTGACCGAAAACATTGGTATGTGTAAATGAGTGAGCTAGTAAGGGCCAGCCCGCTGAGGCCTTTTCTTCAGGTGGGTGACACTCAACAGTGAACAGACTGACTTTGGGTTTGGGTTTCAAAAAGTAAATTCATGCTATTAATGAATTCTCTGTTTTCTTAGTGCATTTCAAGCCATTTCTCACCTCAAGAAAACCCTTCTGTTCATAGCTCAGTTAATTATTGGATATTTTTTGATGCTGGTAGCTATGACGTATAATGTTTGGTTGTTCCTGGCTGTTCTTGGTGGTTGTGGCATTGGCTATTTTTTGGCACACCCATACATGGAGTATTATCTTGGGCAACGCAGTGAACGCTCACATCCAATTTATTATATCAACAGAGACTTCACTGCATATTCAAGTGCCAGTACTTTGTAAGTAAGTTAATGAGTTGCTGGTGGAGATACATTCAAACTTACCGAAATTAATCAAATTGTCTCTTATAGCCAAATTCGTTGTATCGCACTGCGAGTTTTGCAAACTTCGAAGGAATTTTGGGTTTTTCTGTTCCATCAATCATCTTAGCGGACCTCTTAGGAGACATATGCTTAGTTGTGATTGGTGCATTTCGATCCGCTTTGTTTTTGTTTCTGTGATCGCCCTGTTTCGGCCAATAATCGACTAGTTTTCTTCAAAGATTTTCTGAACTTTCTTATTCTTGACTCTTGCATTGGAAGAATAAAGCAATGCCTGCCTCCTGCCCTTGACAAAAATTCCATTCATCATCGTGATTTCCTTCGCTATTCTTGAGCAGTCTAGAGTCATTCTCAGTTTAGTTTTTGCCGGCCAAGCTGAGCGAGTGTGTTGCATTGTGATTTGCATTAACTCTACCCCACTCAAATGATTGACGGAACAGAAATTCGAAGTTTGCAAACGCGCAGCGCGATACAACGAATTTGGCTATAATCCTTATGCCTCGGTAATAGGATTCTTTTCAAAAAAGGACAACTGTAAAATACTTTATCCGTTCCCTAATGATAATCCCTAAAACCAGAATTGAAAAAGATATTTTATTTGTGGATCAAAAGCTAGACATTTCGTAAAGATCAGTAGCCTTAGAAAACAGATGACATTTTGTGACACCACCACTGGTTTCCCCGTGAAGTGACGTCTGAGAAAGGAGCGCAGAAAATCCATACTGATGACGTGTCACTAACCAGATCTGGGTAGTGCCTCTGATTGGTTGAAGCAAATTTTCAGCCAATCAGAAGCACTGGTTTCCTTGCAAAATGAGGAATGAGAAACAAGCACAGAAATTCCATACCCTATGAGGCATCACTGGGAGAACTAGTTAGTGTTTCTGATTGGTTGAAGCAAATTTTCAGCCAATCAGAAGTACTACCCAAATCTGGGTAGTAACAAGTCATCAATATGGAATTTCTGTGCTTATTTCTCAGATGTCATTTCAACGGAGAACCAGTAGTGGCGTTGCGAAATGTGGGCTGTTTTGTCAGGGTTCATAAAGAGTTGCTCTAGAAATTTTATTTGAATGTTGTCAAATTGGAGTTCATTAACCCATATCTTAACTTTGGGGTTACTCAAGAAGGATTTTTTCATAGGAAGGCCTTGTTCCAATTTTTTTTCATCCATTTTTTGTCTATTTTGCTGATTTTGAGATTCATCTTCTTGTACATGTACTCTCGTGTCGCACTGGCAATGTTTATGTTTTGTGGATTCTCAAATGTATGCATTATAAAGTTGCGGGCTCCAAACACTTGAGATCAGGGTCTGTTTTCTTTTCACTTGGAAAAGAATTCTAGTGTGTGACCACATAAAAGAGAACGAAAATAAAAATTAATACTATATTTTATACTGCAAGAAAATAGATCAGCTTGATGAAAAAAAAAGCCGCCAATGTAAACCTATAACACTGTTAAGTACAGATAATAAAATAATTAACAATAAGAAACGAATTATATACATAATAAAAACTTGGAAGACTATTTAGCTCTAAGTGAGTATTTCAATGAAAAGGTGTTAAAAAAAACCGGTTTTATGTTAACTGTATTAATATTGCATAATAGAATGGGCCCATAATTACGGGATTTAAACAGTCATGTGCTACAAAAACACTTAACTAAGAGAGCAAATGATGCAGTGAGATCTTGAAAGAAGAGTATTTTGTAGAGATTTTAGAGTTGTAAAAATGTGTGTATAGGAAAAGCTCTTGTATCATAAAAGACGCATTTTATTAAATATATTCATTTTGAAATGGAGTTGTTGTATGAATTTCTCTTCAAGTCTTCATGCAGACTGAAAACAGTTTTAAACTTTTTAGTCCACTCCAGTTATTTTTAAACATCACGGCACGTCGTGGCTTGTAGTCTTTTGTATGATAAAACTTTTACAAGTGTAATTTACAAGTGTAGCTATTGTTTTAGGATCCGAAAACAAGAAGAACAAGGTTGCCGAATTTTACACGGCACAGCATACGTTGTATTGTGCCCTCACCATACAAACGTGTCAGTACAATTTCGCGACTTAGTGGGGCAATATCTTCGCTCGCTTTTAACGTATCACCTTAAACCTTGGTACGTTTCGCTTACTGATCCTTATCAAAACCTTATCGAAAATACCGTGCAAGGGCCTATTTATATCACAATGAGAAAGGAAAAACAAAATTGGCCACCATTTTATACTAGGTCTAAAGCCTCAGAACAAAAACGAGACTAAAATGCAGGGCAGGAAACAAGCTCTGAGTCAGCATCTTGTCAGACCTTGTTCAAAAGAACTTCTAACAACTGAAACTGGTGAATTCAAAATTCGATTGTAAAACAAGCAGGGTAACTGAGAGATTTCAAGGAGAAACTAATCTTACATGAGGAAGAAAAGATGAAACATACAATTCAAAAAGTGTTGGTGGTCGTGCCAGAATTCTTTCCAATATTTTTTAATATTAAAGCAAACACTGGACTCGGCTACGGTAATTATGCACCCCTTAAAAAACAACACATTTTTTCAAAGTCAAAACAAATATAAAACAAACATTATGCTAACGGCGCGGGCACCATGAAGTAACCGACCGATTTTCAGATCTTCCTGTTTTTACCTTCTCATTTTTTTCTTCGTTTATCTTGTTTTCTAGATTTTTCTTTTTCTTTTCTTGTTTCACTAGTCCGAACTTTCATGTTCGTTGCTGTCTGCGCATGCGTTGGCCCACAACAATGTAAAACTTTAAGTAAAACTTCCAGCAATTCAAACTTTCTTATTTTATCGCGCTTTTTAACAGTTGGTCAGTTTTCGTGTGACCAAGTCGGTGGAAAATCCCGATGAACTTCAAACTTTTTGACGAAACAGCAATTCTTGTCTGCCGTCAGCTAAAAAATAGAGATATCCAGACTTAAAACCTATTACAATTAATTAATTTTCTCCGATTAGATTTTAGTCGGGGGTTTCTATTCGCAAGGGGCTTATAAACGGAGAGTTGTTTTCGGAATTTTTCCGTTTTTTGATCAATAATATTGTTTCAGTGTTTGGCTTTCGTTTTTAATATAACCTTCATTTTGTTATTTAGATCGATGTTTCAGGTACCGGCATATTAAGTAAAACGACAAAGCAAGAAAGCGGTTTGGGAGGCAAAAAAAGACCAGGAAGCGGAAAGCGCATGATTCTCAATGATGGACAAGTAGAAATAGTTAGAAAACATTTCCTATGAAATATTTTTGGCAGAAGCGCAAAGAGGCAGAGTTAACATTAAAGTCAAAGGGCGGGAAACAGGAATAAAGGGTTCGGGTGAATAGCTGTCCGGGACCCGGCCTTTTGAAAAAAAAAAGAGAGAGAAAAATATAACTTATTTCAGATCAGGGCTCCTGCTTACATATTTTAGAAGCTGGAAATAGTTTATTTGCGTTTAAATAGTGGTAAATAGATAATAATCACATGATTGTGACGTCAGAAAAATATTTTTATGTATTCTCACTCGTGGTCACTCATAGTCATTCGCGGTCACTCGTGTGTACCTTTAGACACAATCCTGTCAATCATCTCTTAACGGCTACCGTTAAAAGTTTCGCCTTGCCCGCCGGAATGTTATTTACAAAGCGAAACGAAAATTGAGCCTGATCTCAGGTTAGTATCGGTGCAGCGCTCTGCGACGTTGAGCTAACACACAGACTCGTGATAAAAATTAACATGTTCGCGTCAAGAAATAGACGAATTACATGAGCGCGTCTATCTACGAAAAAATCATACGGAGAACTTACTTATGTTTTTTCTTTTCTATGTATATTTTCTTTATTCAAATCACGATTCTGTATTCCGTTTGCGGCGCGGATAGCGTATACCCCCGGCCCCCCCCCCCGGCGAAAATCATGGCGTTCCGTTTTCAGTTTCAGAGGAACTCGTGACCTAACCTGAGATGAGGCTCAATTTTCGTTTCGCTTTGTTAATGGCGGTATATAGCCGTTAAAGACAATGAGAACCGCTAAAATTGGGCCTGATGTCAGGTTACTCGTGACCCGGAAATCCTATCAGCCCTCAAGACGGGTCCTCAAGTCATGCTATGCAGCGAATTTGAAAAGAGAAACTCAAAGGCAGACCTAAAAACCTGTTTTAAAAACTCTGGATAGTGGACATCATGCGTGTAAGTATGCTTATAAAAATTCGTCAAGTACCATGTTTACCTTCAAGGTGCCATTAGTCGAATATTCAGTTTTGTCAGAGTAGGTGTTTCATAACCTTGGAACAGTCACGAGCTCCAGTCCGGGTAAAATTCTGACAAGCGACCTTGCTTTGAAACGGTCACAGAAATGAAAATGGCGACAAACGACACAACGAGAGGAACAGGAATGGGTGTCTAGTTCGTTTTCTAGACACCCGACAGGAATCAATCTTCTTACGGGTTTTTGAAATTTATTCGAGGGAAATGCCACGATTATTAGTGTTATGCCCTTGCATTCACACCAACATGTTAAATTAAAGCAGGTATTACTAAAAACATAAGAAACACACGGAAAACTGGAACACAGGTTTAAAAGCAATTCAATATTTTTGTAAATGCATTACATTTGCAAAGTAAACATATATTAGCTCAAAGGAAACAATTTTAACGAAACAGCCTTTAAACATGTTTAAGGACGTTAAGCTTTGCTGTGCATGGGGCTTTACTCCTTAATTGCCGAACGCCGAGCAGCCACCGATCGCCCAATGACCCTGAAGTTTAGTCATTAAGGTTTAGGAAACTGAATGAATCAGACTCCATTTTATAGGGTCATTGTAATCTGGGAAAACGTGACCCGAAACTTTATTCACTCAGTTTCCTAACTTCCTGCTGGAGATCATGTGGAGATCATGTGTACAGTTACTTTGTAAGCTTTAAACAGTGATAAATCTGCTTTGTTGTTGCAATTATAGTTTCTATGCAATGTCAATTAAATGCAATGACATTGAATTTTCAGGTTAAGCTCTTGCAGTATCATTTTAATTACCATACTGATCAGACATCTACGGGTTTAATGACCAAACAGTTCCAAATTATTTGCATATTTTTTTAATTCACACACCTATGCACCCCACATTAAGGCTGGTACTTTTTTTACACAGTGGAACCAGCTCTCCTTTGGGACACCTCTATTCAAGGGACACGTCCTTTCAGGGGATGCAAAATTTGGTCCCATAATAATGTTCACATAGTCTTTGTATCCTTTACCTCTATTTATTGAAGGGACACCTTTATTTAGAGTAAAGGGGCACCTTCTCAGTGACCTGAAACCCAGATTAAACATCCATTCAGGGGGCACCTTTATAGTACTCAAAATGTGACTGACCTTGAAGATGGCTGCTTGATATTAAGTTAATAGTGTACACTGATCACAATAAATAATGACAGCTTTCACAACATGGAATTAATGACACACAATATCGCAGAGAAATGTTAGTCGTGATTTTTTTTATTCATTATTTAGCTGCTTAAAATAATGACTGCCAAGTGGATTTCAGAGGGCAATAAAAACAACATATTTTCTTAGTTTGTTGATTATTAACATACCCCAGCCCCTACCTCCATTCAAGAGACACCTCTATTCAGGGGACACTTTCCTTACTTCTGAGGGTGTCCCCTGAATATAAAGGTTCCGCTGTACTTTTGCACCAGGAAAGCATTAGCGGGTCAAATGCACTCTTTTACTCTCCCAATTACTCCTACTGGTAACAATCTGCTGTACAATATTTTTTCTCTTTAGATGTCATTTTTTGCGTCAGACTCTGTTTCCAATCTTTTGTTTAAAGGATGGACAATATCAACTGCCGGACGTAAGCAATGAGCTCTAAATATTTATTTGTAAAATTTTAACCATTGTTGAGGCTAACTAGTAAATGTAATTAAAATAATATAGATATTTTCACCAGACATTTATCATATCAGGCAAAAGAAGTGACACTTTTTTACATTGCTGTGCTGAAATACAAAATGTTCTGTTTTAATTAAGTGTTTGAAAAGACTTTGTGAGTAAGCACAGCAGGGGTACAAATTATTGGTATATTCTCTGACTAGGGAAGGGGACAGTTCTAATGAGATATTTTTCAATACCAAAAAGATCTCTTAAATTTAGTTCAAAGAAGTATATCCCTTGAGTTTTAATCATATTGTGGATATTGATAACTTGTTTATTAATATAAGTCTAGACCGCTACCTGTCGACGGACATAGGGTGCCGGGTCTGGTGAGCCAACTTGCTACATTCTATCCAGGCTATTACACTAGTACAATGGTATGTGCCTGAGGGTCACAAGGTTGTGACTAAGACGAAAAGTATGTCCCGTGATAGTCATAAGACTAACACTAGCCTATCAGATAGCCTTACGCAACTTTCCAGGGTGTATCAAGTTAGTCCGATACAACCAGCAGTCATAGCTTTTACACAAGCGCATCTATCGCAGCAAGCTTTATTACAACTATCGGGTTTTATATTTCTCTAGGCTTAAATTTCACACTCAGAACACCTCCTCTGATTCTCCCTTAATTCTATTAAGAGAATACTTTTGCATACCTGCACCCTTCAAGAGAGGGGGGAGGGGCTGTAATTACTTGCCCTTAATGGATCGAAATGCGCAATAAAAAATATATTCAGAAATAACTGGTCCTTACACCTGCAGGTCTTTATGTTGTTCTCCATGTCATCAAACACATAAAACATGATGGATAACCTAACTTAAAGTCCCTTAATGAAGCTTGAAAGGGAAGCGCTATTTGAAAATAACCAAAAAACAACTATGTGGCTGTCAATCGAAAAATTATCTCTGTTAGGTTGCAATAAATTCTGTTTAAAGTGCAGGTAAAAAAATAAAGAAACTACAACAACTGCACAAAAGTACCAGATGTTACTCTTAATTTCAGAAATGGCTGGATCCTGCATTGCAGTAGTTGTACTAGCTATTCTGTTTGAGACTCTGAAGTCTTACAAGCACAACCAACAAAAACCATGCAAGGCTCACAGTGAAACAACTCCACTGATTCGCCGGCTAAAACAGGAACATACCAGGTACAATTAAACTGCTAATATTTAGAAATTATTGGAGGAGGTTGAGCAAAATATTGTGATTGTTAGTGGCAAGTTAAGCCGCAGATCAATATCATTGATCAATAATTGATCTGCGAGACACTGACAAATCACGATATTTTGTGATAATAAACCGAGCTCATTAATGTTTTATCATTCAATATCACTGAGTTTTTTTTAAACTCTGAAAGGTCAGCGAATCGATCAACCATTTTTACTCAAAAGTGATTGCAAGGAGAAAAGCTTGGTTAGGTATAACTCCCATATGTAAGGCATGTAGAGGTACTTGCCACAGAATAAGGTGGTAGGTACTAAACACAGGTCAGAAGTGCAGGTCACTGCTCTATTGATATATAACTGAGATAAGCAAGTTCCTCTTGAGCGAAAACTCTATTTTGGATTGTGATTAGGTCTAAGAGATGCTATTAGTGTTGTTAATTTACCATAGCATGGTGACCTGTACTCTAACCTGCACTTGTGACCTGTGGTCTTTAACCTGTATTTTATACCTCCTGAGGATCCAGGTATGGTTTTGCAGGTGCTCAAGTCTTAAGTTGAAAAGGATATCCTTTTTTTCGGTGATCCTTCAAATATTATACATATAAATATATAATAAAAATAGTAGGTAAGGAGCTGTAGAAAAGGCTTTATACTCATGTGGGCGGCTCTTACAGGTTATGACACTGATGAACTAATGTCAATCCCTGCAGACTTAAGCATGGATTTTGGGTTTGAATAAATTCATGCTAGTATGTAATTATAAAAATTATCTCTCTTTTTTAGTAAAATTGAAGCCATTTCTCACCTCAAGGAAACCCTTCTGTACCTAGTGCGGTTTATTGTTGGATATTTTCTGATGCTGGTGGCCATGACATACAATGTTTGGTTGTTCCTGGCTGTTGTTGCTGGCTGTGGCATTGGTTATTTTTTCATACACCCAAACATGGATTATTATCTTGCACGGCGCAGAGAAGGTGTAGACGTTGTAGATTCAGCCACTTTTTAATTTGTATGTGTTCTATGTCATAAAGCTATCATGTTTTAATGGTAAGTTCTTTTCTGGGCCTGATTGCCTCTGCTATGTTTTTTCATGTAAAAATAATATTTTTTCCCTAGTCATTTGTAGTCTTGGGGAATGTAAATAGCACTAATGAAATAGGTTTTAAACAAAAATTTGCATAATTATGCTTAAAATGCATTGATAAAAATTATTAACAGAAAGCTTTACAGACCTTTGGCCTCTTAGTTTCTAAGATGAGCACAACCCCTCCCAATTTTCACAGAAAACAAGAGGATTAATGAACCAAGGAACTTCCTAGCAGTTAAGTTCCCCCACTCCTACTAATTGCATTTAACTGGCACCTTGAAATCTTAGTGAGAGCCCTGAAATAGATCAGAAGTGAGAAAAACAAACAGATTTTGAGATACATCTAGCTACATCTACATGTGATTATCTCCCAGGGCTGTGTTGTCAGGGGGGGAGGGGGGTCAACCTGAGATCAGACTATAGGTCTCTTTTATTACCGGTAGTTTGGTAATTAAAATGCCTGTTGGCAACCACAGAAATGTACACTGGGGAGTTAAAGATGCCACTACGGCAACGGCAACGAGAACGTCAAAAAGCAAGTGGTTAAGATTAGCAAAACAACAACTCTGCACGTGCATCACACTTCTTTGTACATTTCTTTGCCGTCAATGCATGACTACGAGGTGAATTGCCTAATTTCATGTTTTATTGTGGTTGTCTTTACACTAGGCTGTTAAGTAAGACTTAAGAGCTGCTAAGTTTTACTTAGCCAAAAATGCGTGTGTGAAGGCCTAAGTAAAATCTCAAGTAACTTTATTTTGTATCTCATTTAAGTCGGAAACTTGAAACGGAATCAAGAAAGTTTCAAGTGACTTGAAAACCATCTTTAAAATCGACTTAGCGAACTTGCGGTTTCTAAGCTTTGAGAAAGGCGAAGCATGTTAATCAATCTCAATTACGTTGCGTGGGAAAATAGGCTTTAGTAAACCTGAAGTAAAAAAGATCGGTTGGGTGTGAAGCTTTCTTTTACTTGAAGAATTTAAAATTTACTTGTCTTGAAATATTTCTTAGCTTAATTAGGCTCCAGTGTAAAAACTACGAACGTGAACATACGTCGACGAATCTAGTCTTTTACTCTTTGTAAACCTGGATATTTTTCATAAGAATTCAACTCCAGTAGAGTTAACCTACATAAAACATAGTGACCGAGTTGGGATAATCGCGCTTAAGTTTCATAGATCGAGAAGTCACTTTTTAAGCGACGTTTTTGCCGCCCGTAGCCGTCGTGGTATCTTAAACTTACTGGTAGAAATAATGATATAGTGATGTAATAATATTATTGAATGTGACAAGACACTGCTTCTCACGTAGTGTTTTAATTTGTGTATTTTGTATTTTTATTTGTGTAAAGCAACATATTATTATATCTTTCATTTTCAAACCAAAATGAATAAGAAAATTGTCACGTAATAACAAATAAACTCTTATTTAAAGGAACAACATAGTTTATAAATGCTGTCAGATGCATTATATAATGATGGAGAATAATTAATAAAGAAGAGCCTCTTTTCTGACACGAAAGCCGAATTTAATAATATCGTTTTATTATTCATTCAAAATAATTCCTAGTTTAAAAACAAGTTTAGAAGGTAAAGGGTTGTTCAGCTCCGCAAATATTTTCCAAACAAAAGATGTCGTCATTCGAGTTGTCTTAAGCCAATAGCTCGCCTATTTCTTCCTGGTGAAACGAGTGAAATGTTCCGCCATTTCTGTTCTCACTTCCAAAACAACTCAACTCCCCAGGTCATCTCCGTTAACGATTCACTTATCTGTCAATTTTGCTGCACGATTAACGTCATCAGCTCAATACGGCAAATTCTTCCAAATTTGGTCAACAATAGCTGATTATGTGAATTACGCGTGGGATTTTAGCCAATCAGAAACGGAGAAATATTTTGAATGAATAATAAAAATAATTCATCATGCAAATCGAGGAGGGCGTTCATATGGCCGAAGTTACAGATCGGCATAGTTCTTTATATCATCCAAACGCCGATTTCAATAAATGTTTAATATTCATTCAAAACATTTGTAAGTTTTTAACATCCTTACCTCCTCGTAGACGGAGGAAGACGTTCTTCAAAACATTTGTCTGTTTCTTGGTATAATATAAACACACGTTTTTTCCCTTGCAGAAAAGCAAATGACGTCCAACGAGCAGTACGTTTTTGGCAAATTTTTCCATTTGTTCCGTTTAGTCGTAGTAATTTGGGATCACAGATGGCGGTGACCTTGTTTTTTTACAAACTTTCTTGTTTTTTGCGCCCTCAGGGATTTCGCTTGGAAGGCGAAATCCCGAGGAGGCACTCTAGTAGCTCGCGCGTATATTAAGGAAAGTACTTACATTTGAAATATACAGTCATATAGAAAAAATCTCGATTTGCTTGAACGGGGCCCGCGAGGAACCGGTAGGTAATGATGACGTTTCTATTGTTTACGCCCGCAAATACGAAATGGTTAGGATGACGTAAAACAAAAAATTCCGAAGGGACCGCTTACAATAGGTAGATTTTGTGACATAAATTGTGCAGTCATACTTCGATACTCTTCTGCGTTACGTGTTATCAGTGACATTCTGTGGAGCAGTTGTTATGAAAGTTATGGGCCAAAAGACGCTCGTTAAGCACAGATGAAGTTATGAAGTTAACACCAAG